TTAAAAAAAATAAATTGGAGGCCCTTCCTATTCACTGTAAACATACAGAAAACAAGTTATATTAGTTTCTTGCCAATTCTTCACTTTTTAGAAGGACCTAAGATATGATTACTTATTTTTGCTTTGAGTCAATAGGAACTTTTCTAAGATTTAAGACCATTCACCTACAGAGCAAGATCCTGCTAATGTGTTTCTAGGAGGGGAGGGGAAGGGAGGGGAATGAAGAGAAGTGGAGGGGAGGGGAAGGGAGAGGAGGGAAAGGAAGGGAAAAAAGAAAAGAAAGAAAGAGAAAGAAGAAAGAAAAAGAAAGAAAGAGGAGAGAGAGAAAGAAAGAAAGAAAGAAAGAAAGAAAGAAAGAAAAAAGAAAGAAAAGAAAGAAAGAAAGAAGGAAAGAAAGGAAAGGCAAGAGGGAAGAAGGGACAGAGGGAGGAAGGGAACCATATTCTCATCTTCAAAGGTGCATTAGCAGCATCTGTGGCCCACTTTAAGACAGAGCATGAGCAGCATGTACTGAGTTGCACTTTGTCTTTGAATATATAATGCACACATTTCCAAGTAAACTGTGATGAGATGAAAAGAATTGTCACCACCTCACAAAGCTCGGCTGTGCATTATGTGATTAATCAATAAATATTTGTTCACTTTCTTTTATGCATAAATGTGATGCTGGGCAATGAAAGGTAAGGAAGATGTAGGTGAATACGACATGGATGATTTCCTCAAAGTTTGCACAGTCTACCAAGGAACAAAATACCTGGACACAAATAACCAAAATAACTACTGTTGTGCATCTCTCTACAGGAGATGAATTAGCAAATATTTCTCGAATCTTGACTATGTGCCAGGAACTGTCCTAAGTGCTTAGAGTATGCCAGTGAACAAAAAAGGCAATATATGTATATATACATATTGTATACAATTGTATAATATATATACAATATACATATACACATACGTATGTGTGTGTATATATAAATATATAGTCCTTGTGATGCTTGTGTTTTAGAAAACGACACTGGACTATGAGTCTCTAAAGGGCAAGCATGTAGCAGAGTCATTCCATTTGCTCCTCAAAATGCCCTCTCTCTTGCAGTCACCAGCATGTGACTAGTCCAGGCCAAAGCAATGTGAGCAGAAATTATATGTGTTACTTCTTAGTTGAAGCAGTAAAGAATTAAGAAATGAAGGCATAATTCTTCATTCTCCTTGTATCTCAACAAAGCTAGAAAAGCACAGTTTGGGTACAAAGACAAACAAACCAAACACAGCATGTTCTCACTTATAAGTGGGAGCTAAATGATGAGAACACAGGGACACAGAGGGGAACAACACGCCCTGCGGCCTGTGGAAGAGAGAAGGGTTGCAAGGAGGAAGAGGGTCAGGAAAAAATAACTAATGGGCACTAGACTTAATACCTGGGCGATGAAATAATCTGTACAACAAACTCCCATGACACGAGTTTACCTATGTAACAAACCTGTATGTAACAAACCTGAATTTAAAAGTTTAAAGAAAAGGAAAGCACAGTGTAAGACTTAATCTGAGTCTTTTCGGGACTACGTGGAGCAGAGCCTGACATCATTCCACATGGAGTTGAATACGTAGCATGAGAAAGAAAAAACTTCTTTGTTATGATAAACCACTGAGAATTTTTGGCCTCTTTGCTACCACAGTTTAAAATACAGCCTATGCTGATTAACAAAGAAATACATTTGTTATCAGTTTTGTAGCTGCCACTCTTAGAAGGTGGCTTGTCTACAGAAGGCATTCAAAAATAACTGAGATAAATATAATTGCCCAGTGCAAGCTTTTATGAAGGTCCAAAGGAAGGAAAATGCATTTTTGATTTGAATATCAGTAAGGACTTCATGAGAATAATGGCATTTAAGCAAGGGGAAAGTGTGACATTATGATGAGTCCTATAGTCTTCAGCCTTAAACAAACCTGGGTTTGATTCCCAGATCTATTGCTCACCTTGGAAAAGTTCTTAGTTTCTCTGTGCCTCAGTTTCTTCATCTTTATATTAGGAATAATGCCTACATCTTCAAAGTACATAGTCGAGAATTAAATGAGAAAACACCAGCAAAGTGTTTATCCAATGCTTATCCTACTAAGAAACACATATCCATTTGAAGGCTCTGGGTATGTAGACAGTGATGGTGGTAGATGTTTTCACATAAGAGTAGGAAAGTGCCAGGCTTGGTAGCATATACCTGTAGACACAGCCACTTGGGAGGCTTAAGTGGGAAGATCTCCTGAGCCTGAGAGGTCAAAGGTGCAGGGAGCCATAATCATCCACTGCTCTCCAGCCTGGGTGAGAGAGTGAAACTCTATCTCAAAAAAAAAAAAAAAAAAAAAGGAAAAAAGAGTAGGAAAGCTTAGTGCTTACCTGGGAAACAGGTGTACTCATTTTAGCTACGTCATGTAGCCTAAAACTCAATCATTACACTTAGCATGTACAAGCTTTATACAGTTACAAAGCACCTCAGCATGAATTCATCTCTTCAGATGAAGTCTCTAGAGAATTCTTTAGGACTGCTAGCATTTAACAGATGTACATACTGAGGTTGAAAAACATGCAAGTGATCACCCAGGGAAATGAATGGCAGTGCTGAGACTCGACCCTCTATCTGCTGATGAAACGCTTGGTGCCATTATTATTATTATTATTATTATTGGACTCTAAGTGCTCTTCATGAGAAGTTCAGCACAAATCACAGGAACTTTTTGCCAGGCACTCCTACTGTTTCATTGGTCAAGGTTCACGTATGCAATATTGTCCACAGCTGCTGTGCCCCTGAGAGGTTCCATCTCAGCCAATATGACCCTCAAATTTCAGAAAGCCTATTAAGTGAACCTGGAAGAAGAAACAAATATCTGTGACCTTCTCTTTCTTGCAATTCTTTTTCTTTGTAATTCTTATAAACATTTTTCCAAATCAATCTGTGGCCTGGAAGTAAGGGCAGCTGTTTAAACCGGTTGCTTAGAAACCGGCCATGGAGAGGTGGACAACTTATTGCCACTACAAGGTGGAATCCTAACCATGGCACTTCTTTCCAGATCCCAGTGACTTGAAACTCTGAAATGCCAATAACCACATAATTACAGTGACTCTTTCATAAGTCTGGGTTATGCTAACAGGTCACACATCAGTTTGTAAGCAACTGCACTTGTTGACTCTTCTCCGATGTGAGCTGGAGTTTCGGAAGATTTCTTTGATTCTCTCAATGAGAGCAATTTAAGACTCACCTGCCAGGTTACTGCAGTTTCACATCTGTGAGTGCTGAGAAGTCTTCTTGAGGTGGATGTTGTGGATAAACCACAACCGAATAAATATGATTTTTGTAAATAAGAAAAGTGTCACAGGTAACATCCAAAGCAGGCATCAAATACTGAGTCTGAACTTGCATTGTTTTGTCTGACTTTGGAATTGGAAGGCACTTCATTTCCATTTCTCTCTTCCTGCTCCTATTACACAATTTGCTTATTTAAAATTAATAACATTGCCACCATTAGTAGATCCTTTCTCTTTTCTGAGAATTCCTTCCACTTCTCATATGGCTGAATATCTGGCTCAGACACAATAGTCTGGCCAATGGCTGATCAGTCTATCTTTTCTAATAATTTCAAATAAGACATGAGGGACCTGGACACTGGGGAACTGAGTCATATTTGTAATAAAGCACCTATTTAAGGGATAGTGAATAATTATTTTTACACTGGAACTGCCTTATTCCTCAGATGTGGCTGTTGACCTTTTCCTTGAACTGTGAAATGCTATTATCTTTCCAAATGTTTTCTTTCATTTGTATAAAAATGTTTGATAACGCTCTTCCTCTTTTCAACCATCTCATTTTTAAGCCACCACCAACTCCAGCAATACAGGATAAAAGCCTCTGTCCCTTCTAAGTGGCCTTCCCTCCCCCTCTCAAATTGCCTATGCAACCAAGTATAAAGCCTAATGATTTCACCTCTAAAATCCATTCCGCATTACACACATTCTTATAGCTCCAATCTTTGTCTAAACTTTTGTTCCTCTTAATAAGTATTTTAATCTTGCCTCCTTTTTTTTTTATTGATTATACTTTAAGTTCCAGGGTACATGTGAAGATCTTGCAGGTTTGTTACATAGGTATATACGTGGCATGGTAGTGGTTTGCTGCATCCATCACCCCATCATCTACATTAGGCATTTCTCCTAATCCTAATCCCTCCCCAATCCTCCCACCCCCTGCTATTCCTTCCCTAGGCTCCCACCCCCAGACCCTAGTGTATGATGTTCCCCTCCCTGTGTCCATGTGTTCTCATTGTTCAACACCCACTTATGAGTGAGAACATGCAGTGTTTGGTTTTCTGCTCTTGCGTCAGTTTGCTGAGAATTATGGTTTCCAGTTTCATCCATGTCTCTGCAAAGGGCATGAACTCATCGTTTTTTATGGCTGCATAGTGCTCCATGGTGTATATGTGACACATTCTCTTTATCCAGTTTATCATTGATGGGCATTTGGATTGGTTCCAAGTCTTTGCTATTGTGAACAGTGCCACAATAAACATAAGTGTGCAAGTGTCTTTATAATAGAATGATTTATAAACCTTTGGGTATATGCCCAGTAATGGGATTGCTGGGTCAAATAGTATTTCTATTTCTAGATCCTTGAGGAATTGCCACACTGTCTTTCACAACAGTTGAATTAATTTACACCCCCACCAACAGTGTAAAAGCGTTCCTATATCTCCACATCCTCTCCAGTATCTGTTGTCTCCAGATTTTTAAAGGATCGCCATTCTAACTGTCATGAAGTGGTATCTCAATGTGGTTTTGATTTGCATTTCTCGAATGACCAGTGATGATGAGCTTTTTTTCCATATGTTTGTTGGCTGCATAAATGTCTTGTTTTGAAAAGTGTCTTTTCATATCCTTTGCCCACTTTTTGTTGGGGTTGTTTGTTTTTTCCCTGTAAATTTGTTTAAGTTCGTTGTAGAGTCTGGATATTAGCCCTTAGTCAGATGGATAGATTGCAAAAATTTTTTTCCCATTCTCTTGGTTGCCGGTTCACTCTGTCAATAGTTTCTTTGGCTGTGCAGGGCTCTTAAGTTTAACTAGATTCCACTTGTATGTTTTGGCTTTGTTGCCATTGCATTTGGTGTTTTAGTCATGAAGTCCTTCTCTGCCATGAAAAAGGAATCATTATTTATAGAGGGAAAACCTAAGCTAGCATAATCAAGTCTCCCATTTGGCCAGCACCTTTACATTCCCTACCTATTTAATCCATACTAAGAATTACAAGTTGTTTTGTGTTTTTCTCTATGCCCATTTTGCAGGTGAAGAGAACTAAGATTCAGAGATATTAGGAAACCTTTTCACGATCACAAAGTTAGCAGAGGGTGAAACCAAGTATCAGAACCAAGCAGAGACTCAAGGGCACATTCTCTCAATCATTGTGATAATTTATCCCCCAATTAGGTGTAAGGATAATTACATTTCACAAGCCTACACATCTAGTTAGGACAGATATAGCATATGAATCCAGGATATGGCCCATACCCATTATATGACATTCTGTTCTGCTCTTATAATTCCCCTGCTTAAAAATTTCTTTGACAACATGTATCCTTATACTGACCAAGACGTTTTATGTACAATTTAGCTCTAACTAAACTTCTCCCTTCATGTCCCATCATCTTCATCTTTCTGCTCTATTATATACATTAATCCCATCTAAACATTTTCGTTTGTGATTTCTCTCTTTCACATTTCAAGCCAGTAAGCTCATATTCATCACAGGCCAGCTTGAATATTTGCAAATAGCATACAAGTGATCCATTAATCTCAAATTATTTGGCCATTACTAAGCAAAATTTTCATGGCTACTCCAAAAACACCTAGTACAAGTAGCTATGTGATGGTGCAGGAGACATAAGGGAAGGATATGAACAATGTAAACTAATTATTATTAACTCTCGGAGATTGGGAAGGAACTCACGTAAATAAAGACTCTGAGGCTGTAGATTTTTTTTCTCTGACACTAATTCTTAAGCCTCTCTAAGTTGGAAATGGTTTATGTTCTCCTTAACTATATCTGAGTAACTGAAATTCCACTGATAATATAGTAAAACTTCATTAAATATTTTACTCCATAAACCATATTGGTTGGTTTTTATTTTTGTGTATTTGTTTGCTTTCATCAGTTACCCTACTCTAAGAATATTCATCTACCTCATTCTTCATCTGGGCTTAAGCTGCTTGAGTTTGGATAATTTTAATGAGAATGATGGAGTACTCTAACACTTGAGACAACTTATTACAAAATTAAGCCCTGCCACTTACTAGAATTTCTCAGAAAAAATTGTGCTTTGGGGTCAATAGTTGTTTCACATTGGTGGTTTTATGTGATTTCCTAAGGAAGAAAAGTAAAAGAATTAACAGGGGAGAATAGAGAATAGGGAAACTAATGAGAAGTGGGAAGAACAAAAAGAAGAGACAAGGAACAAAAGAGGGGGAAAAGAAAGGGAAAGATTTGGGAGTATGGAGCAGGAAGGAAAATTATATTTAATCTGTACTATATGCCAGACACTGTACATGTTTCACATGTACAGGTGCCATAGCTGAGGTTAACTCAAGTCTGTATTATTCTGTGTTCTTAATCATTCTGATACATCAGTCAGCTCTTTTTGGTGTTAGCCCTGCTTTTGGGTCACATTGGATATAATAGAATTCATCTTCTCCATGACCAACCTACAGATATTGAAGGAATTGGTTCCTTCAATATTTCTCTTGAGTTCTTTCTTCTCCAGTTTAATATCCTCTTTTTTCCAATAAATTCTCAATTTTTATATCTACTGAACTTTTATGTCAATCTCTTTCATCAATTTTTTCTCTCCCCACAGTTTTTACTATAACTACTGAGACACTCAATGTGTTACTCACAGTGTCTGCTATAAACACTGATGAAGTTAAAAAAAAAAATCTCAGAGGAGGTAGAGTATAATGAACTATTTGTTTCTCACTTTTCATTTACCTGAAAACAAGATGTAGCAAAAGAACATGGCTGCAGGAATTTTATTTAGAGAGGCAATACAGCTTTAATGACAGTGATAATGGGTTCTCAACCTGTCTATCACTCCATTTACTACGTGTGCAATCTTGGTTAGGTTATTTAGCATTCTAATATTTAGTTTGCCTTTCTATAAAGTCAGATATCAATACCTATAAATAAGGTGTTGAGAAGATTAATCAAGATAGCATTTGTCAAGCATATGGCTCATTGTAAGGTCTAGGTCAAGTGATCTTCATTATCTTTATCAGTCCAGTGTTCCCACATTCTCATTCAGACAGCATCAAACTATGCTCAGCAGCAAAGCACAACCTTCCATCTTCATTCCATGTCATGAGATGGCTTGTGATATCCCTGGTTTATAGATCATGTAATATATTAGCTAGATAGACTTGAGGAATTTTTCCTGTGACTTAACTTTACATGTGAATAAACAGCATCCAACGACAAGAAAAGACGTTCCCCCAGGACAATGTAGGTTGCTAAAGGCAGAACTATAAGCAGAACCTGTGATTTCTGAGACCCAATCTAATACCATTACACATAAATCTTACTGATTCCCAAGATTCAAATTTAGATGATAGGGTTATGATGACTAACAGGTTGCCAATCCAGGCACTTTATCTAGTACAGTTATTTTTAAGTCAAAGTGCCATGCATAAGAGAGGACAATGAGAAAATACATTTGGTTATAAGGGAATTTGAAGCGCTCCTCATGAAATCCACTAAGATGACTTTCTTACCAGGGTTAGCCATGCTCATGACAGTGTCAGCCCCTGGTGGCAGAATCAGATGACTTGGATCCCAGGCTTGGTTCTGCTATTTGTGAAGTGACCTCAAAAATGTCATATAACAACTTCTAGATTTCTTTTTAATCTGTGACTCAGTGAGTAAATCAAAGTACTGTTCATTTAATTAACTGATATAATCAATTTTCTAGTTTAATTTTTCTGGTTATTGTTTTACTTTTTTTCACATGCTTATTGAAATAAGTGTCTATGCAATTAAGTGCCTAAATCTAATGTATAAAGGTAAAGGAACCCAGATCAAGATACAGAATAGTTACATAATCCCAAAAGTTTCTCCCAATAATGTTACAGATTTAGCAAATAAAGATATGAGACACCCAGTGACAATTTAATATCATGTAAACAGCCATGTGTTAATATGTGTTCCATGAAATATTTGTGCCTCCCTGCCATGTCTTTTCTTCGCAAATTTCATGCCTGCTTTCTTTTAGTAACCACTATTCTTATTTCTATAAACCAGATTGCCTTTGCATAGTCTTGAACTTCTTATAAAAGGAATTATACAGTATATACTTTTTTCATCCAGCTTCTTTTGCTCAACATGTCTTTGAAATTAATCCATGTTGTTATGTCATAGTTTGCTCTGAAATATACTATAATTGTTTATTTATTCTCTTATTGAGGGCTTAATTTTATCACCAGGTTAGGGATATTACAAATACAGCTACTATAGCTATGCTTGTACATGGGATGTGTGTGTGTGTGTGTGTGTGTGTGTGTGTGTGTATGTGTGTGTGTGTGTGTGGGTGTGGGTGGGTGGGTGTGGGTGTCTGTTTACAACATTTGTGTTGGTTGGAGGGGGTATATACCTAGGAGTGAAATTGTTAGATCACCAATTAAATCTAGTTTCAGAATGTCCTGGCAAAGTAGATAAAAGTATTTACACTTCCACTGGCAATGCATAAGAGTTCCAGGGGTTCTATATTCTCACTAACAAATGTTACTGCCAGCCTTTTCAATTGTCGTCATTCTAGTGATTGTGCAGTGGCATCACATTTAGGTTTATATTTGCAGTTCCCTGATGTATCACAAGTATGAGAGATGAATATATATCAGCTATTAAGATATCCTATTTTGTGAAGTGCCTATTCAAATACTTTGCCCATTTTTTTTTTTAGACCAGGTGTCGCTGTCACCAGGCGGAGTGCAGTACCACGATCTTGGCTCACTGCAACTTCCTCCTCCTGAATTCAAGCGATTATCTTGCCTCAGCCTCCTGAGAAGCTGGGATTACAGGCCCGTGCCACCACACCCAGCTAATTTTTGTATTTTTAGTAGAGATGGGGTTTCACCATCTTGGCAAGGATGGTCTCTATCTCTTGACCTCGTAATCTGCCTGCCTTGGCCTCCCAAAGTGCTGGGATTACAGGCATGAGCCACCTTGCCCACCTCTTTGTTCATTTTTATTTGGGTTGTTTTCATATTTTTTCAGGTTTTGTTGGTGTTTATAATGTAAAGTAAGTCCAGTACCAGCTACTCCATCATGGCCAATATAATTGTTTTTAAACAGATTTATGAATTTCAAAGTACTGTAAAATGTCATCCTTTATATCATTATTAATAGTATTATCTTTAAATTTTTATTAGAATATTACAGTCAGGAAGAGACTTTCCTCATTTTTGCTATCCTGACCAAAATGTCACTTTGGTATGTGAAATTGTATACTGATGAGAACATTTATTTGTATATACTGACAGCCTTTGAAAAAAGAGATTCCCATTCTACATACATTTTATTTCTGTCATAACCATGTGTACTTCCTTTCTAATCAAACAACATGTGAAGAGCAATTTAAGTCATTCATGATATATTTATTCAACGAACTTTATAGCATAAAATGCCAGCAGAGGTGCAAGTCCTTAGGAGAGGCTATAAAACTGTAGCAATGGCATGAATATAGGAGTAAAAAGATCTGGTTTTAAGAATCAGCTCTGTCATTTTCTAATTATATAGCCTTGGATCACTTATTCAGCACTGATACTCCTTAATAGTTTTTTTCAAATGTATGGATAATATTCCACGCCCTCCCTACTTCAAAGAACAATGACCAGGTTCAACAGAATTTACTTGCAGTATTAAGTTCTAAGGGAAAAAAACTCAACCATTGATTGCATGCTTACTAACTATTAGGCTTTGCTAAGGCACTATTATTTCATAAGGCAAACTGTTTAATCTTTACAATAATCTTATTATATAGGTATTATTATTCCAATTTTACATATCAAGACACAGTGCTAGGAGGGGCCAGGTAGCCTTCCTAAAATCATACACCTGGGTTGTAGACACAGGCCTATTTAAGTCTGAAGGCAACCTGTGCAGACATTATTACCACATTTGCAGCACCATTGCTAAGTCACTGTGTGAGTACAGCCAAGTCTCCTAACTGAATAGGGCATGCACAATAATTCAGTACTTTGTAACAACCTTAAACATGTGTGTGTGTGTGTGTGTGTGTGTGTGTGTGTGTGTTTATGTGTGTGAAAGAGAACAAAAGTAGGTGTTACAGCACTTGAAATTTAATTTTCAAACTCTATTCCCATTTCAGACATTTGTTATTAAGGATTCCTTATGCTTTTGAAGGAACAAAAGGAGAGAAGTGTAGAGGTAGAAGAACTCTTGTTCTACTCTAGGGGTAGCCAAAAGAAATTAAACATAAGCAATAGTCTTTTTCTCTGGGATCACCAATAATGTTGAAGGAATAGATCTGTCCAAGAACCACTTGCATCCTTCATTTCAATAAAGCAGCCATTGGGATCAGCAGAGTATAGATTACAGAGTTATCCATCAAGGTTCTCAATGTTGCCTTCCTTGTCTTTATACAGTGTATCTGCTGTATTCCTAATTGGTACATTCGGGATCCATAGGACTGTGCAGTGTGGTCATGCTGGGATTTATCCAGAAAGAGAAAACACTGGCTGAATCTAAAATGAGCTGTTTATAGATCTTGTCTTCCTGGTGCTGGCATATAGCTGAAAGAGGTAGAAATAGTAGAAATGAATAGTATGCTAGAGCCCAAGAAATTATACCTTCTGATTTGGCAGGAACTGTTACTTATCCATAAAAACATAAGAAGCTTTGGGAGTGGTGATGGTGTTAATTAATAAAAATTCCCAATCTTAAGTAACTCTAAAGTTTACAATTGCATTCACACATACCATCTTAATTTTCTAAAGAACCCAGTGAGGTAGTTTTCTTTTTGTTTTGTTTTGTTGTTGCTGTTTTTTCTTTATGTAAAGATAGTGTCGATCAAAGAGGTTACGTGTGTCACACAGCTAACTAATGAGAGGCTGAACTCAGGCTCCTTGGTTCCTGGGTCAGTTTGGTTCCCATTGTGTTGAATTGTTTTCAGGGAACCAAGGGCTAACGTGTCCTGAATCAAAAACAGGAGTCTGGAAGAAGCAAAATAAATAAATAAATAAAATTTAAAAAGATGGAATGAGGGGCAGGCTACTGTAACCCACTGGAGAATCAGAAAAATGTCTTAATTAAAGTTTGAAGCAGAGAGTAAGACAAGAGCATTGTATTCCAGAACAACACAAATTGGAGTGAAAAATTAAATAGCATCTTGCAGGATGAAGCGACAGACTGGATCCAGGATATCCCTGCTCTGCTACAGACTACAACACTTAATTAATAGCTACATGATTATGAGTAAGTCACTCAATGCCACTGAACATCTCTTTTTTCATATGTAAACTGGGGGTTGTATTATTTGCCTTTATTTTCTTACAATTCTGCTGAGGATTAAATTAAGACAAGAAGTAAAATTTTGTACAAAGTGTAATGATCTGTATCAACAAAAGACGTTTCTTCAAGCGCTATTTCTGCTGTGATAGCCACTACTACTCTATTTTTGAAATTATCAAAGAAGGCACTAGCAAAATTACAGGACGTGATAGCAAAATTTTATTGCCAGTAAATTTAGCAGAGGGCCTTTTCAAAAGTAAGTGCTCAATGAGTGGTTGTTTAAATTTCTATAATTAGTTCTGGGTTTGTTTTTTTCACATTCTCTATTTCTAGACTTTTCCTGACTTATAGGTTTCTCTTCTTTTCACAATGTAGAATTATTAGTTTTTCTTTTTTTAATGTTTTTAAACCCCTCTTCAGTGGACTGGCCTTGGTGATTATTTTTGTTGTTTCATCTAATGTCTTCATTTCCAACTTCCCAACTAGCAGCTATCATTTTAGGATTGTGCCTTGTACACTGGCTAAGATCCCCCAAAGTTCAGCCTGACCTGTTTCCCTTTGCATCTGCATCAGACGTTGTAATATGACAGCCTGAGGACATTTGGCTCAGAGATAATCATATAGGGGTCACATTTTACTTCGGCCCTTGGCAACTGGAGCTAGGCTATAAGACATGTCCTTTAAGGTGAACTGTGTACTGTTCATTCACCTAAGTACCCACTGGCCTAATTCTCTCACTTACATGGCCCTCTAGAGGTTTAAGTTTGAGTCTTTTTTTCCTAGAATGTGATCACACTCTACCTTGCCCAACAAACAAAATAATATATGTGGGTCTGCTTCTCCATCTCCAGACCTGCTGTGGACAACAGATCAAATGCAAAGTTCTAGCTGTTCCTACCTCATCTTTCAGCCCACCACTTAAGGTGCCAATGTTAGTTATCTGCACTCTTTAAACTTAGGAACGGTATCAGAAATTGCCAACCCTTGATATGAAAACCAAGATAATATATTTGACACTAGTAGATTTTAATTCAATTCAATAGATATATTGAAGCCAATTGGCTGTTAAAAAGAAATTTCCTTAAAATGCATTTGATAATTGTGTTAGGCCATGGCTCTAGCCAAAACAGCAGGTTTTCCAGGATTCAATATGAAAAACACAATATATCTGAATATGTCTATGAATCTAAGCAAAGGAGTAAAATTAGTGTGACTTTAAGACCTATTTGTGAGTACCAATAATTCTAGAGTAACCAAAATATAAAAGCCAGTCAATTCCACCATAACTTACAGGTCTAAAATAACAAAATTGGCAATGTATAATAACATGTGTTCTGCATGAAGGGCAAAAAAGAAACTTACAAGAAAAATATGAGTGTTTTTAGCACTGCCCAGGTACATTTAGTCAGTTGGAAATGGTTGGCCCCTCAAACATGTTTTAAAACCTACAGTGACCCAAGCTCTGAGCCAGATAACGAAATAGCAAGAAATAAAGACACATCTTTTTGTTCCAGAAAGTCAAATTTCAGGAGTGAACCCAAATTTGGATATACATACACATTTAAAAAAAAAGTTTAATTAATTTATTTATTTATGCAGGTGGTATTTGCTGGACGTCTAGGGTACAAGTACCAGCCAGACGATGATGCACCTCAGAGATCAACCATATCCTGTCATGTTGGAATTTACTGTCTAGTAGTGGAACTTGATAATGGACAGGGAACAAACAGATACGTACCAAATTGTGAAACAGCACTTTTCATTTCCTATTCTAAATAAATCAATGTTAAGCAGGTGAAATGATTAAGACTGTGTTTTTGGAAAAGGGTTATCATGAGAATAAATTGGGCAGAAATTGAGGCAGGTAGATGAGTGAGAAGCCTATTAGAAAGCAGAGATAAAATAAACTTGGACTTGAATGTGACAGTGGGCATGTAAAAAATAGATTGATTTGAAATATAATTTGAAAATAGGAAAAGGACTTAGAGATGCACTAGATATGATGTGAGAATGATATGAAAAAAATCAAGGACAGTTGCTAGATTTCCAGCTTCAGCAATAGAAATGAGAAAGCTGTAGTAGAGAATTCAATAACATTTGGTTTAACTTTGAAAAATCTGTGTGTCATTGAAGTGGAAAAATTAAGTAGACAGTTATTCATATGAGTATGGAGCGCTAAGGTAAGATTTTGTTTTGGAACAAAAAATTTAATACTAACACAATGCAAAAAGTACTACCTGGTATGTGATAGAAATATGAGAGAAAAATTGAGATCCTTAAAAGAACAACCCTACCAAGAAGAGAAAATAAATATTCTGTTTGAGTTTTATAAAACTATTGCTGTCACTGAATCCATTTTATTTCAATTTTATTTTCATACCATGATGTGCAGATAATAATTTATAGTCTCATATATGTTTTTCCACTAGGTGAATAATTGGTTGATCAGCTGAAATTAAAATGGCCTGAAATGGTACAGAGAACACTAGGCTAAACTTAGTAAACTATAGTTTCTTGATCTAGCCAGATTTTTGTTAACTAGGGGACTTTATACATATCTCTCTCTGTCTCTAAGTTTCAATGTCAGTCTTCAAAATGAGAAAATTTCTACTCAACTAAAGTTTATATTAAGTATCTATTTCTGGCTGAAGTGAAATAATTTATGGCAGAAGATACACACTAAGAATAATTAAGAGAGGTGAATAAAATATTTTAAAAATAGTATAAACATCTTATTGAAGGCACCAAAGTATCAGTAAAAAATTCAGAACTTGAATGAACAAATTCAAGGTAAAAACTAACCAGAAAGATATGAACCAACATTCTAGAAGCCATATTTCCTGTCAGAGCATTTGGAAATTTGGAGATCATAGCAAAAGTTTGAAGATACTAACAGAAAGTCATGGTTAAGAGGCAGAAAAACAATCAGATGTTTTGGCAATCTCAAAAGGATGGAGAGACAGAAATTTGAGTCAGAATTTGCCAAAGCAGCCAGGCTTAAGGATCCAATTTCCTAACAAGAAAGAAAACCCAGAAAATTAAGTCAGACCTGCCGGATTTTCCCCTCAAGCCATTACCATATGCAAAATTCAAAATGACAAGATTTTAAGAGATAAATAAAAAGTTAAAAAAATAAAACTGATAAAAGCAAACAAAATGAAAGTTAAAATATTAAAAGGAAAAAAATAATAAAACATACTTTCTGGTTTTAGCTCTGACATGTAAAACTTTGGAAGTCATCACTCCTGTTCTTACAATAAGAAACAACCGAACAAACTAAAAATCAACAAGCTTTCCTGAATTTATTTGAAATCTGAGGTTTCAGGACAAATCAATATCTTGAAGTTTGCAGAGGCAAACACACCAGATCCCAACAGATGAGATGCGATTACCAAAAGCAGAAACTTATGGAGCCTGGAAATAGTATAAACACTTAAACTGCAATATTGATGAATTGCTATAAGCTGAATGTAGATGAGAATGAGAGTAAGAAATGTCTTGATCCTCAGCTTTAGGTGGCCTCAAATGCTGTCATGGCTTAACTCAAGGAGCACTACCAGGTCCTCAGGAGTGAAGACTTCAGGAAGATCTCAGGCTCTGATACTTATATTACATCCAAATATAAGACCCTGCTAGGCTAAAAAGCAAAGGATGGAGAAAGATATACAGTACAAACCAAATCAAAAATCCTGGAATAACTGTATTACTTTCAAACAAAGGAGTCCTTAGAAAAAGAAAGCTTGTCAGAGATAAAGAGAGCCATTACATATAGAATAAGTAGGTCAGTTGGATCAACTATCTAAGAAGAAATAATCTTAAACATAAATGCACTTAACGAGAAAGCACAAAATTTCACGTGACAAAAGCAGGTATATCCACACAATGGAATATTATTCAGCAAAATAATAATAATAATAATAATGTGCTATCAAACCACAAAAAAAAAACATAGAGGTACCTAAAATGCCTATTACTAGGTGAAAAATCCAGTCTTGAAAGGCTGATTGATTCCAATGGTATGACATTCTGGAAAAGGCATAACTATAAAGACAGTAAAAGGATCAGTAGCTACAAAAGAGCTGGGGTAGGTAGAATTAATAAATGAAGCACAGGACATTTTTAGGATGGTACAACCACTCTGGAAAACTTCAGTATCTACTAACGAAGAATATGAACTTACAACATGACCTGGCAATTCCTTTCCTAAGTATATATCCATAGGAAATAGGTACACTTATACCTTGGAGATATTGTGGGTTTGATTCTGGACCTCTACAATAAAGGGAAGATCACAATAAAGTGAGTCTCATCAGTTTTTGGTTTCCAAATGCATGTAAAATTTATTTTTACATTATGTTATAGGCTATTAAGTGTATAACAGCATTATGTATAAAAAATGTACGTGCCTTAATTTAAGAACATTTCATTGCTATAAAATGCTAATGATCATCTGAGTCTTCAGTGAGTCCTAATCAATAATTTTGCTGATGGAGGGTCTTGCCTTGATGTTGATGGCTGCTGACTAATTAGGGTGGTGGCTGCCAAAGGTTGAAGTGCCTGTGTCAATTTCTTAAAATAGGAGAACAATAAAGTTTTTCAAATCTATTGTCTCTTCCTTTCACAATGATGCATCAGTATCATGTGATGCTTTTTGATAGCATTTAACCCTGTGTAGAAGGTCTTTTAAAA